TAATATTTTTAATCAAACTTATTATAGAACGAAATAAAAAAAAAATTTCTTTTGTTCTTTGCATACAATAAAAATTATCTTTTAACTTTCTTTTACGCAAAGTCGCTGACTACAGCAGCGCTACGCTGGCGCAGCTGGTAAGAACTTGATCGCAAGTAAACTCAATGGCTACGCAAACAAAAAACCTGGAAAGGGGGCAATGCAAAAATATATACATTAGGGCGGGTCAATTTTGTTTGCGAGATTTTTTTTACTATGCGGGTAGGGTATAGGGGAATTTTCCGAATAAACCATGGGTATAAAATCACTTTCGAGCTTTTACTTTAGCAACGTTTTATTTTGCTGTAGTGTCATAAAGTAGGAGTATTTAAATTTTTTATAAAAACATGCTAATAAGGGGGTTTTGGTATGAGGCATCCATTTCTGGCGAATTATTGACCTACTATTTCGCCTTCTTCAAACACTGCTTTGCGAAACTACAGCAAAATAAAGCGTTGCTAAGAAAAACCCATATTTTTGCAATTTGGCAAACTCGTAATTGATTTTAAACCCATGGTTTCTTCGACAAATTCCTTAGGAATATCAAGCAGAATACTCCTATGCTACACCCGCATAGTCAAAAAAAAAAATGCCCACTCTAATGTGCATATTATTAGCCGGCGAATGACGTGCAAATATGGATGGATTTTGTGAGTTTCTGCGCATTCTCATTAATGGTTGAGCTGACGGTGCAATGAACTTGTTTTGGGTATTCGCACATTATTTTAAAAATTATAAATATCTTTGTGTATTTTAAAATTGCCGTACAAACTTGTTTGTCATATACAGATAAAGTTAACGTTTATGCGCAGGTTACTCATTAAACGTGGTTTACCATGTAAATACAGGCGTTCTGATTTCTTAAGAGGTATCTCTTCTCATTGGTTCATAGGCACTGATACGATGTATGTATGTATGTATGTACATTAGGCCAGCGGTACGCAACAAATTTAACGTACTGAACCAAACGAAAGCAGCTTCAATAAAAATTACTAATTAAGTAGTAAACAATACTTCAACTAAAAACAAAGCAATCGTAGGCAGCAGTGAATAAATGGCGATCGATTATTGTCATGTCTGTGAGGTTGGCATACGGAATGATGCAGAAATAGAAAACACCTGTTCTGAGTAGCTTTGGAAAAAAGTGCTGGATATTTTGAAAAATAAAACAAAAATGTTTCTAAAACTTTGTATGACAGATTCACGCACCATACGACATATGACTAAAAGTGGTAAAAAGCGTTCGGAGTAGCTTTTAATGTTTCTAGAGTTCCTGAAAATCCAAAGGTCTGCAAAACTATGAAACTTACTTTATGATCTGCAAAATTTGTAGGAACTTATTTTATGTATTTTTTTTAGTTAGTTAGTTTTTAGTTTTTTATTTTTATTTTTTTTTAATGTTTGAATTTTATTGTTATAAAAAGAAAATTATTTTTTTGTTTCATTTAAATCTTAGAAGCCGGCGTTATTTTTCTATTTTTTACCTTTCTTAAATTATTTATCTTTTATTTTTTACATTTTGTTTTAAAATGAAAAATATAAAATTTAAATTTCATTTAGTTTTACGGAACTTAATATATTTTACTTGATTTAAGTTATATTTTTTAATTTAATTATCTTTCCATTAAAAAAAAAAATATATATATTATTTATTTTTTAGATTTTTTTTTAATTTTTTAATACTATTTCTTTCTTTCTAAATTTAATTTTCTTTAAATTTTTGGATTTTATTGTTTAACAAAAGAAATTTATTCTTTTTAATTACATTTAATTTTTAAACTTATTTTTCTCCTTTTTTTAATTTAATTAATTTCTTTCCTTTTTTAAAGTTCTTTTAGTTCTTCGGTTTTATTGTTTTCAAGATAAAAATATATATTTTATTTTATTTTATTTTATTTTATTTTATTTTATTTTATTTTATTTTATTTTATTTTATTTTATTTTATTTTATTTTATTTTATTTTATTTTATTTTATTTTTTTTATTTTTTTTT